AGAAATGAGGAGATGGGAGAGGCGTCAGTAGTGTTCCAGCCAAAGGAGAACTCTGGTTTCAGCAGGTTCCTAAAATGTTAATTTTAAGTGGACTATAATCAACTGTATACTATATGCACTGTAACTATATATATATATATATATATATATATGGTATATGTGATAATATATATACTATTAGTATATATGCTATAAATAACCCTTGAGAGCTTGTTCAGAGGTTTTGCAAGATGAACATGTAGGAATAATGAAGGAAGAGACCAGAGAGGGGATTCCTAACATAGCAATATGATTTGCCCCATCCCTGTGGGTGTCTTGTAGCAAAATTATTTTCACATCCATTCTGCCTTTTAAAAATCTAAAATAGTAGATAACTCAAAGGTCATTCACACTGGGCTTAGGGAAATTGGTTTGTATTATTAAATATATGAATAAATGAATCCGTGTACAATTTCAGTACTTTAAAGAAAGGAATAAGGTTGTACCATGAAAACTAAGTCAAGAGGAGCCAACTAACTAGTTGCCTGTTGAATTCATCCTGGTTACTTGTATGCCTGCTGCAGAGTAGGGCTGGTCAGTTCCCTCCCTCATCTATTGCCTCATCTATTGCCCTTTATGTAATTCTTTCCTGAACAGCATCCATAATAAGTGGACATGTGTATCGTAAAAGCTTGTGTACATTGAAAGCTGAGAGCTGCCAGGCCCTGTGCCCACTGCCTCATTTACCATGTTTGAATCTTAAAAGAACTTTCATGAAACATATTATCCTATTTTACAGATGAGTAAGCTGAGCACTGGAGAAATTAAATTGCCTAAATTCACTCATAAGTGGCTCACTCAGATTAAAACCCAAGTCTCTCTGTGTCCATGGGCATCATGTTGCCTAACTGTTTTTTCCTTAGACATATAAAGAACTTTCAAATCTCAACTCTGTTTTCCTTCAGGGAGTGGCCTTTGGCCCTCCTGCTTTCAGTACAAGGAGGTTGATGAAAATGTAGAAATCTGCCTGGGACTTCCCCCAAAGATAATGAATAAGGTAATGAATGTTCATCCAGAGGATGAACATTTTTAACAAGCTTCCTTGGAATCTATATGTTTTCTCTGGAACATTCCGTAGATTGAAAAGCACAGCTCTATCTACATTATTTCATTCCTCTATCAAATGGGTGGTAAGATAACAAGGCCTGGGTTTTTGGGTTTTTTGTATGTGTGTTTGTTTGTAGCATTTGTCACTGACCATCCTTTTTGAGACTCTTCTTAGCCTTTGATGTATTTTTTCTTGATGTCCCTCTTACTTTGCTAACCATTGTTCCTCAGTTTTTTCTAATTAATCTTCCACCTGCAGTTCCTTAGGATGCTGTCCATGGGCCTTTGTCCTTTTGTGGATGTAACTACTGTCTTTTATTGAGGCCTTAACAAATTACTCTTGATTCTTACCCCTCAGTTTTAACTGAATTTAAGTACCTTATTTTTATCAATGTTACTGTATATCCATGAATGCCTGTGTATTCTTCAGGTCTTAAATTTAGCATGCCAAAAAACTCACTATCTCCCTCCCACATGCTTCCTCTGTCACCATTGTTCCCTAGTGTGGTTAATGCCAGCACTACTCAGACCCCTGAGCTTGAAACTTCAAAATTGCTCTCAGAGTTCCCTTTTTGTTACAACCTACATTCATCAGGCAGCATCCAATCTTGTTATTTTCCTCCTCAGAAATGTCATTTGTTTTTTGTTTGTTTGTTTTGATTTGTTTGAGTGTAGTTGACACACAATGTTACATTAGTTTCAGGTGTACAATATAGTGATTGACAGATTTATACATTATTCGGTGCTCACCACAAGATTAGGTAGATCTATTACCATGCACCTCTATTACAATATCATTGACTTTGTTCCTTATGCTGTGCCTTTTATTCCTATGATTTATTCATTCCATAACTGGAAGCCTGTATCTCCCACTCCCTTCACCTATTTTGCCCATCCTGCCCCAGCAACCATCAGTTTATTCTCTGTATTTCTAAGTCTAATTCTGCTTTTTGTGTTTATTCTTTTTTTTTTTTTTTACATTCCACACATGAGTGAAATCATAGGGTATTTGTCTTTCTCAGTTGGACTTGTTTCACTTAGCATAATACCGTCTAGGTCCATCCATGTTGTTGCAAATGGTACAACCTCATCCTTTTTATGGCTGCGTAATATTCCTATTTTTTATACACATACACGTGCACACACATACATACATACACCACATCTTACTTATCCATTCATCCATCAATGGACACTTAGGTTGCTTCCTTATCTTGGCTATTGTAAATAATGCTGCAGTAAGCATGAGGGTGCACATATCTTTTGGAATTAGTGTTTTTGTTTTCTTGAATAAATACCCAGTAGTGGAATTATTGGATCATATAATAATTCTACTTTTAATTTTTTGAGGAACCTTTATACTGTTTTTTATAGTGGCTGTACCAATTTACATTCCCACCAACAGTATATAAGAAATGCCATTTGAATCATTCTTTTCCTCATTCCCACCGCATCTTGTCATCTCTTACCTTACACTTTGGATTCCATGTTAGCTTTCCTGCTATTTAACTATCCCCAATATCTAGTGTCTTTTTCACACTGTAGAGGTATTTTAATAATAAATGCATTTGAACTTCTCATTCCCCTACTTAGGAAATAGCCTTTAGTTTCCTACTGCCTGTGGTGTAAGCTCCTAGGCCTATCCTAATCTAATCTCATCTTGTCTGTCCCACCTCTCTCCTTACCACTAACCCTATTTCATGGCTAAACCAGACTCCTCACCACATCTCACCTTCTCAATCTGATGCATCTGCACATGTCATTCCATTAGCTTGGAGTCTCTGTCCATGTATGAGAGGTTGGTCATTCTTTGCACTGTATTTCCATGGTATTTATTTCTGACAATATGATGGAGTAGTAAGAGTCAGGGTGCTGAAACCAGACTGTCTGGATTCATAGATCCCAGTACTTAATAAATGTCTGTGACTCAGCTTCCTTACTTATAAACTTGAGATAATAATAGTACCTCCTTTAGTGTTGTTGAAGATGGAAAGGATTAATTCATGTGCAGTGCATGTGCCTAGCGCATAATAAGCAGACATGAAGCATATGCTGCTGTCTCTACTGTGTAATCATGATGACAGTGATGTAGCTAGTCTCCCCCAGAAGAGGCTGAAGGAACTGCTCATTAATACTGTAGTCAACCCAGAGTTCATGGCCATACCAAAATAAAAGTATTGTGCTTATAGAATGCCTGGATCCAGTTTGGAGGCTACTATACTTTAGCCAACTCATGTCATTTCTAGTCTTTCTAAAGTTCTCCACTAGTTGAAATTTCACTAGTACTTAGACATATAAATTTCCCCAGGCTGGCAGTCCCTTCCTTAACAGTAAATAATGTGCTCCTCTACAATTCTGAAGGTGCATGAGTTTGCCAGTTGAATGGATGTTGGAGCAGGCTGTCCCATGGTGTAGCCCTACACCATGGGACAGCCTCCAGATCTAAGCAGAACTCCAAAGCATGGCAGAGGGAAATTCCTTGTGTCACTTGAAGGCATCCTAAAGTAAATATAGGCCCATAGAGTCAGAAATCTGGTTTTCTCTCCTCTGTCACATCGCAGGTAAAATTGTAAAGAATATTGTGTAGACTGAAATACTAGAATTTAGCAAAATGTTTGCAGATGCTTTAATTCTTATGAAACTGCTACAGACATATTTGTTTGGATGCTATTTTTACTTTGATGGCTATGGTTCCAAAAAGTTAAATGCAAATTCCAGTGTTTCTTAGCAGAGTTTACTATTTAAAGCAACTCTACAATAAAACATTTTGAATTACATCCTAGTTTACTAGTTTCCTAGTTTTTATTAGAATATTAATGTATTAGTTTCTTGAATGTAGGACACTCTTGTATGGGCTGCAGTACTTCTGACACAAAGGAGATGTTCATGGCTTAGAAAATTGCATCATCAAAGTGGCAAATGAAAGTAAACTTGGGAAAGCAGTATTTAATTTTTAAGGGGGAAAAAGAAGCTATAAAGTAGAAATCCACCTTGGGGAAAACAATAGGAGCCTATCTATTAGACAATCAATATCTAAATTTAATTTTGAGAATGAAAAATATTTATGTGTTACTATTTTATTTCATTTTTCCAGTGTATTGAGTTTCTGGTTCTCATCATTACAATGATAAATAATATTTAAATGGTTCCAAATCAAGTGTCCTAGCTAAACACAGATGCGTGCACATGCACGCAGACACATTTGAAATTAAGGATACACAGCTAATGGTAACATGTAGATCTGAGAAAGAAATAAGGAAAATGAAGAATAAGAGTGATGACTTGGGTTTCTATGGCACCTGAAGTTTAAAACGTACTTGCCTAATGTGTGGATGAGGTAGAAAGAACTCATTAAAATCTTTGGATTTTAATCAGAAGAACTAAATTTTAATGGTTGCTTTTATGCTTATTATCTGTGTAAAGTTTGGGCAAAAATGTCCAAAGCTTTGGATTTCTCATCTGTGAGATGGATATAATGAAGAGCCCCACTGAGGATCAAAACATAATGTGCATTCAAAGCCTTGAGAAATTGTAAAGCATTGTACAGATTACAGAAATGATGGAAATAGAAATTTTGGAAATTACTCAGAGATATTAGAGATAGTTTCAGAGATGACCTAAGTATGATAGAGGTAAGTGTTCTCAGTTTGTGCGTGAGGAAAAGGAGGTGTGTAACAAGGGCTGTATGGCTGAGCTGGAACCGGACCCTGGAATTCTGAGTCCAGATGTGTTCACTACTCTTTGTGCTTCACTGTGATGTTTTTGAACCAAGGTTGTATATCATTCACAGGACACAGCTGTGGTAAATTAGAACCTAATGGATTTTAAGGACTTTAACACATGTAATTATTGAGTCACCTTAGCAAGAAATGCTAATATCACTGGGTGAGGCTTATATTTGTTTTTTAACACAGGTAATGAATTTGGGCATCCTGAATGGTTAGACTTTCCAAGAAAAGGAAATAATGAGAGTTATCATTATGCCAGAAGGCAGTTTCATTTAACTGATGATGACCTCCTTCGCTATAAGTTCCTAAATAACTTTGACAGGGATATGAATAAATTGGAAGAAAGATGTGGTTGGCTTTCAGCTCCACAGGTAAGCTCTTTATTCTAAATGTTGTGTGTTAGTCACCAGGGTTGCACATGCTTGGAATGGCAATCGATTTAAATCTATATGCGATCTTCTAAACACCACTTCATTCTTCAGCATGTAGTGCCCTGGAACATACTTCAGGTTGTCAAAACATGTCACTGAAGTCTCTCCAATAGATAATGAAAATCTTAAACACACTGCCCTGCTTACTTTCCTGTTTAGTTTGTTGTTGGTTAAATTTAGTAATTTTTATTTCAATTGGTTAAAATAAATGACAGAAGCTCGGTGTGGAGTCCATTTTGGAAATTGCTGTGGAAACATCTTAATTGTTTCGACTGTTTTTCTTTATATAAATAATTTTGCTGTCATAAAGGGACTACTTTGACAACATGTAGATTTCTTTATTCCTTTTTTTTCCCCCCCCTTCCTTTACTGGTCTCTAACTTGTCATCTCAATAGATGCCATTATACCTGTATGCTGTTTTGTATTTTTCATGAGCCTGACTCTCTGGAATTAAAGTCTCAGTTTTCAGTAAGTTTTAGAAAATGTAATTAACAGGTGCAAATTTTATACAGGCTTTTTTTCCCTTGCAAAAATTAGCATATAGTATGTTACTTATAATCCATTTTACTTTTTACTGGTGCTATTTGAAATTACTGTTGATATGTTTTTACTTTGGTGTCTGTGATTTTTTTTTTTAATGGTTGAACAAAGGTACTTATATATTCACCAAGATTGACTACCTGACACAAATGCCCTAATCACGTTTATTAGTAATGCAATTTCCAGAAGAGAGAGCAAAATGATGCTCCTTTTCAACAGGAACAATGTTGAATTCCAAAAGGCATGCTGTTTACTCTAGAGCCTTAGTTCACATTGCTAAATTACTAAGAGTGGTGCTGCTGATATTCATGGAAATAAGTCCTTTCAGAACCGGAGCTGCAAGAGGGTGGTGTTGAAAAAGCAAAGGCTTCTCACTGCCTACTATAAAACATGGTGTATAAATGGGAGACTTTGTAGATATAATTTCTTTTCAGACCTTCTCTTTTATTAGGAAAAAAAGATATATTGCAAAGAACATTAGGTTGCCATTGAATCTGACAAAGGTGTGCAATAATGTAAAGTTTTTAAGATACTACAATTTCAGAAATCCCAATACAATAACAATGTTACCTTTTATTTTAAAACGTAATTTTATGTACCTTACCTCATTAATCTGGGAACTAAAAGTCTTAAAGAAAATTCACTTGTAAACATCCAGAATACACACACACACACACACACACACACTTTATATGTAACATAGGTACTGTATTCTTTTTTTTGTTTTTTTTTTTTGTTTTTTTTTGTTTTTTTTTTTTGTTTTTTTTTAAAGATTTTATTTATTTATTTATTTGAGAGAGAGAGAGAGAGAAACAGCATGAGAGGGGATAGGGTCAGAGGGGAGAAGCAGGCTCCCCGCCGAGCCAGTAGCCCGATGCGGGACTCGATCCCGGGACTCCGGGATCATGACCTGAGCCGAAGGCAGTCGCTCAACCAACTGAGCCACCCAGGCGCCCTAGGTACTGTATTCTTAAAACCTAAGCCACAGTGCTAATCCTCTGTGCTTTATTTGAAGTTGTCAATGACTAGTGAGATTTTTATACTCTTTAAGCAGTTTTTGAGATTTTGGTTAGTGTAGAGTTTGATATGGCAAAATTGCAACATGTTAAAAAAATATACTACATTTTCATTTGTTGGCTTAATGACTAAGAAATCTATTAATAAAGACAAAAACAACTTTTTAATAAGTAATTTGCTTATAGCAGCATCCATAATGTAATAATGTAATATATGTGTTAATTCTTGCAGGCCTATGTGAGTGAAAAGCATGAAGCCAATAAGATCATTGCTTTTGAGAGAGCAGGTCTTCTTTTTATTTTCAACTTTCATCCAAGCAAGAGCTACACTGATTACCGAGTTGGAACAACGCTGCCAGGAAAATATCCTTTTTGTTGCTGGTGAATGTAACTGTCTGCATTCAATTGTTTATTACATCATAGAGAATAAGAAAGACCAATGCAGATCTTGGTGACAGTGGCTCTCAGTTACTCTTTTGAAAAATGAGGGACTTAAAAGAGTTGGTAAATCTTTGCTCTGCTTGGTTATACCGAATCGATCCTCAGCTTCATTCTGGTTCTAAAATGATTCTGAACATTTTTTAAACGATATTTTGATCCAATATGCAATTCAGGAGACAATTACAGTTTTTCTTTATGAAAATATTTTGTAAGTTTCCTTTAAGAATTGTCTCTTTTCCCTTTCTCCATTGAGAAAACAGACAAGAGCTATAAAGATAGCTTCCTTCCCTTTCCTCTTTCCTGTCTCCTCAAATGCAGGACATAGCCCACTTTTGAAGGCCTAAACTGGTACGGAATCAGGGCATTGGGAGTGTGAGCAAAGGAAATGAGAGGGAGAGTGTTTTTGATATTCTATATATTCATTTACTCACTCATTTACTTGTTTCACAGATATTTGCTGAGCACCTACCCATTGAACACCAGTGTACCAGCCCTGTGCGAGGTGCTGGAGAGACAGGAATTCTCCTGGCAGATGTAGTCACTGCCCTCGTGGAGCTTTTAAACTAGTGAAGAAGAAAAACATTAGTAATTGTAAGTTTGATCATTGTTGCAAAAGGAAAAGTGCAGTGTATTTTAAGAAGATTATGACTTACTAGGTCCATGAAAAAAAAAAATGACAGATTCAGGACCTAACAACAACCCAACACAAATTTTTAAGCAGACCATAGAAATAATGTTCTTCTCCCCTGAAGCCCTCACAATGATCAATGTCTGCCACCTCAACAAGGTGGCTGATGCCAACATGAAGGCTGATGTGTCAGGATCTCTAGCTATAGTAAAAGAAACCTCCTGTTCTACTGGCTCAAATGGTAAGGGAGATGTATTTTGCCACACCATCAGAAGTCCTAAGGTAGGGTGACCCCAGCACCGTGACAATATCCTCAAGCTCCCTGGTTCATTCTGTCTTTCTGCTTTCAACTCTTAGGGTGCCACCAACACCCAAAGGATGGCACCTGCTATAGCTGCAAGACAACAGCCATGGTTCCAAATGTAACCTTCTGACACAACAAAAGGCAGATAGACCTCTTTTCTCTTTTTAAGACTGAGGTCACTTAAACACATTTTCTTTCATCTTCTGTTGACCAGAATTCAGTCGCACATTCCCAAAGAAATGTCTAGGAAGGAGAAGCGTATTGCCAAGACGGGCTGAATCAGGGGAATTACCCTGGAGTTTCCAGGAAGTGGGAAGTGGACTCAGGAAGTGGACTTCGGGGGGAAGTGGTTACTCAGACAGACCGTTTCTCCACCAGTGAAGAAGAAAGGGCCAGTGCTGTCTAGTTAAGTAGCCTGCGGCACCTGCCGCTCCCCTGCGCTATCAGTGAGTGTGGTGAGAGATGGTCCCCTACCCTTTGCCTGCCCAGCAGAGCACAGTTCCACCTGCCATCAGAGCATTTAGGAGACATGGCTGTCACTGTGACTAACAGCCCCAGGGTGCCCCAGTTGACACAGAGAATGCTCCGTCAGTGTGATGGGATTGCCTGCACCAAAGATGCACTTGTTCCAGGAAGCAAATGTACTCACCATTTTTATAAAGAAATGCAAATAAATGCTAGACATGTACCATCTCATACGTGACCCCTCTCGGCTGCAAACTGCTGAAGTAATGCCCCTAGACTCACTTCCCGTATACCTGAAAATGTCATATAGTCAATATGCAATCAAAATATAATTTTTTTAAAGATTTTATTTATTATTTATTTGAGAGAGAGAGAGAGAGAGAGCACATGAGAGGGGGGAGGGTCAGAGGGAGAAGCAGACTCCCTGCCGAGCAGGGAGCCCGATGTGGGACTTGATCCCGGGACTCCAGGATCATGACCTGAGCCGAAGGCAGTCGCTCAACCAACTGAGCCAGCCAGGTGCCCCAAAATATAATTTTTTTATAATCAAACCAAAATACATTTACAGTACACTTGGGAGCTACTTCAGTCTTTGTTAAGCACTATCCTTGACCCTAAGTCAGTAGGAGAGAAGAGATGTATAAAACCAAACTAGGATGTAAGTCATAATGCAGTAAATGGGAAGGGAGCAGGAATGTTCTACGGGAGAACAGGAGATAAGTAAAAGAAAAAAAATAAAGTGAGAGAAAGAGAGAAAGAAATTGATTGATGGAGTGATTGATTTAAGGAAAAGACCTTTAAGCCTGGACCTTGAGAAATGGATAAAATTGTAGTAGAAAAAATTGAGAAGGGCCATCTTAGCTGTTGGAGAACATAGAACGTTCTTAGATAATGAACAGCACAATGTATTAATTGGAGAATGATGACCCTAAAAAGGAATAAAAGATAAAGCTGAAAAGATAGATTGAGATCACATAATAGAAAATTTCAATGCTATATTAATTAGTTTAGACTTTTTTCCATAGTTCTATATTGAATCACTGAAGGTTTCTGAGTTAGGGAGCTACCTGATAAGAATGTATGCTTTAGGAAAAGTTCTCACGGACCCAGTGTGTAGGAGAGCTTTCTTGAGGAAAGAGATGGGAAGTACAGATATTAAGTATGAGAAATTATAGTACATGTAAAAGATAATTAAGGCATGAGCTAAAGGAATGACAATAGGATAGAAAGAGGTTTATGAGCATTTTCTTAGAGTGAAAGAACTCAGCAATTGTTTGGACTTGGGATGGAGAAGAGAAAATACAAGGTTTCACTTTAAACAAGGGGAAGAATGGTAGTGGTGTTATTACTTAGGATACCAAAGCAAGAAAGCAAGGAGGAATAACCAGTTAGGGGAATAGAAAATATAAGTTTAGGGGCACCGGCTGGCTCACTTGCTAGAGCATGTGACTCTTTTTTTTTTTTTTAAAGATTTTATTTATTTATTTGACAGAGAGAGACACAGCAAGAGAGGGAACACAAGCAGGGGGAGTGGTAGAGGGAGAAGCAGGCTTCCCGCCGAGCAGGGAGCCCGACGTGGGACTCCATCCCAGGACCCTGGGATCATGACTGAGCCGAAGGCAGACGCTTAACGACTGAGCCACCCAGGCGCCCAGCATGTGACTCTTGATCTCAGGTTGTGAGTTCAAGCCCCATGTTGGGTGTAGAACTTACTTAAAAAAAAAAGTGTATGTATATATATATATATATATATATATATATACACATACACACACACATATATATAAAGAAAAAATGTGGGCGCCTGGGTGGCTCAGATGGTTAAGCGTCTGCCTTCGGCTCAGGTCATGATCCCAGGATCCTGGGATCGAGTCCCACATCGGGCTCCCTGCTCCTTGGGAGCCTGCTTCTCCCTCTGCCTCTCTCTCTCTCTCTGTCTCTCATGAATAAATAAATAAAATCTTTAAAAAAAAAAAAAAGAAAAAGAAAAAATGTTTAATTTAGGATTTTGATAAATGTAAACACATAGAATATCAATGGTGATGTTTAGAAGAAAAATCTTGACTCAAGCTACATTGATCTCCTGTGTAACTATGTAATCTATGTAATTTTAACAAATATTATTAAGTGAAAACATAAATAATAGCATATTTTATGAAGTAGAATCTACCCAAAAGTTAATTTTATTTAATGATACAATATTACACTGTACATAAAAGTCTATATTTTGTGTTTTGTTTTGTTTTTCTGAAGTGATCTCTACACTAAACACGGGGCTTGAACCCATGACCCTGAGATCAAGAGTCAAATGCTCTACCAACTGAGCCAGCCAGGCACCTTTCTAGTTTGGTTTTGATAAAACCTTGATACAAATGGAGTCTTCTGAAATTTGGTGATTTATCTAGATGTCTATAGGCATCCGTTATACAGAAATTCTCTATATTAAACACTAAATGTTTTACGTTAGTGACCCCTTTCAGAAACTGTACTCATTAAAAGCTCTAATTATGTAGACACCTGGGAAAATTGGGCCATATCTTCATATAAGTAAAACTTGAACCCTTGATCATCTATTGCATCTCTAGGAAAACCTTGAAAATATTCTTGGTTCTTTTCTTAGAGGGATTTTGTTTTCTACAGATTTGTGCCCACTTAGACCTTATTTACTCTTGCCACCTTTCTCATTCTTGAATTTCTGTCAACAAGCTGTAACTAATTCCCATACGTTACCGCTTCCTCTGAGGACATTTACATTTTAATAATGGTCTCTTTGAAAACTCCAGAAATATGCAAGACCTTATGGACTGGTTATCTCATGTAATAATTGTTTTATAACAAAGATTTTTTTTTTTTGAGGGGAGGGGAGCAGGAGAGAATCTCCAACATACCTTAAACCACACCTAATTAGCTTTAAGTTCATAACACCAGCTTTAACTCTTACATTGATCTTAAAACCTTCTGGATTTCGTGATGTTCTATACTCCAGTGACCCAGTTCAGTGCAGAAATAACATTTGTAAGTTCCTCCACACATCACAGCTAACCATCAATAGAGCACATTCCAGTCCTAGGAATCTCACTATTTCACAAGGTAAGCAATTCTAGGGTTTTGTTTTTTTTTAAATATTGCCTTAAACGTATGAAAATAAATGCATTAATTCTGTACTCTGGCTCCAGCGCCTGTTCTACAAGCTGCCACTCAGATCAGAAGGGCATTTAACATGCTCCTCACAGTACTTACCGCTCCCTAGTCTTCCCTCTTCCAGACCAGATGCCTCTGTTTTCTTCAGTAGATTCTCATGATACTTTCCAGACCTCTTACCATCGCATCTCCCTCATCAAAATACACTCGGCATGGTGCCCATCCCTCTTACATCATGTCTCCAGAATTAACAGCATAATATTTCAGATAGAGTCTGGCAAGTATGACTTAGAGTACCCCATTACCTCCCTTTATCTTGATACTGCTCTCTTATTAATATAGTCAAAGGGAAACTAGCTTTCCTGGCAGCCATCACGTTTTTTACTCATATTTGCAACCAAATAAAAATCTCTAGTTTTTCTTGATGTGTACTAACTAGTATGATATCATAGCTCCCTTATTCTTTTTTATGATTTTATTTATTTGTGAGAGAGAGAGAGCAAGCACAAGCAGGAGGAGTGGCAGGCAGAGGGAGAAGCAGGCTTCCCACTGAGCAGGGAGCCCGACGCGGGGCTTGATCCCAGGACCCTGGGACCATGACCTGAGCTGAAGGCAGACGCTTAACCGACTGAACCACCCAGGCACCCTATTCAGCTAATAACTTTAACCTAAAATCCCAAATTTAACATTGAACATGAAAATATATATATTGGTTTTTTGCCTCTAACCTGTTAATGGGGGAGACAACAGTTCTCTGTCATTATGATGATTGTACTATCTTCCATAAGCAGCAGATACATCTATGCTTTCTTTCAGCTCTTATTGTTCCAAGCTTAGCTTTAAGAGTTCTTTTTATTATCCTTAGCATTTTACAAGTCTCATTTCTTTTTGGTCTTTCATCTTTCTGACTTTATTCTTATACCTTTACACGACATTGTAGCTCAGCATTATAGAATCATTTCAGATAGGGAAAGTACAAAAAATTAGGATTTCTATGCTGTATTTTCTGACTTTGCCAAAGTGTTCTGTGCCATTGGTATTTCCAACTACTGAGCCAGTGATTTGAATACAGATTTTCACTGTGAAGAATCCACAGTGGCAAGATTGGTTATATTAATCAAGTCAAGAAATTCATCAAATTTTTAATTCCCTGGAAAGCAGGATTTGGTGCCAGAACAAATTGAAAGTTTCTAAAGAAGTCATTTGAACTTCTTCTTTCACTATGAAATATAAACCTGCGAACAGGTAACATGTCTGAATTCTTGAGCAGTTCCATTTTTTGAACCCATATATCCAGTATATCACATAGCAAGACATCAACTTTCACTCAAATCTGTGGAGGATAGGTGATGACTGTCTTCCCAAGAAACTGTTGTAAGGTGAACTATTTTGGGGATAATGCCAGGCAAAGCAGAAGAAACACTTAAAGGATGTCTTTAATTATCACTTCAAAATGAGATGATACATTTTGGAAAGCTAAAAGAGAAATCGGATTTGTATCACTAAGGTTTTGGAATGTGGTCTTAAAGGTGACAGCTAAAAGACATAGTATTGTTTCTGCAACAAGAATCTATAGCCGTATTCTAGAAAATTAAAAAAAAACACACACACAAAAACCCTTTGCTTATATACTATCTTACATTGGTCTTTTTAGCTGCTGATCTTCAATGTAATAACCACCAACATTCTTTAATTAGTAAATAGCAACGTGTGTGATGCAGAACTCAGATCTAAACATATAGACAAGTAGGCTGGTCATACATTTCATACCTAGGAAGATAAAACACACTCTCTTAATGTGTTATATTTGCCTGTGATTTCACATTGTTTAGCTGTAGAGAAAGAAAGAAAAAAAAAACCATAATGCCCTTTATATTATCAGAATCATCGCTGTCTTTCTTGCATTACATCTCTTCACTTAGAATGATACCAAATCAGCATTGAATCAAAAGGAAAACTGCTAAGCCCCCAAGGACGAACCGTTCCTTCTAATGCATTTTGAAGAACATAAATGATGATACCACATTTTGAGCGGTGCCAAGGGAAGTGGGTGTTAGGGGACCTCTTTTTGAGGCCCTTCTGTTTGCTGGCCATTTTTAGTAAGTATCTAGTTTCCTATTCCCAGCGGCCCTATAAGATAGGTTGTGTTGGCCTCATGGGACAGGTCAGTAAACCAAGGCCTCTAAGTCACTACCTAACTCCCCTCCAGCACCTAGCTGCAGAGGTTGAGCAGGGACTGCAAAGCTCGTGTTCTCTCTCCTGCGTCAGGGCACCCCTTCTCTGGCTGCCTGTGTGTGGTTGGTGGTAGCAACAGTAGTATTGCCCATGATGACTCATTTCTGTTACGCTCAGAAGAACTTCTGCATAGTTTTGGGGGCAATAGGTAGCCTGAGAAAATGCACTGTACATCCTGTATATCAGATACACAAATTCATGGCACAGGAGAGCTTCTCTCTCTTCAGCTAACTCCCTTCACGCCTCATTCGTAAGGCGTGTGTCTTAGTATGTGCAGATTCATACTGTTCTGAGAGCGTAAACAACGCCAAAACCCAGTGTTTTTTCAGTTGTCACCATGCTGAGATGGGGGTGGAAATAAAAGTCTAATAGCAGCCCCCTTTCCAAATGGCGTTTCAAACTGTTACAATACTGAAATGTTGAGAGTGATCATCAAGGATGGCTTGTGAAAACTATGTGAATCCCAGCCAAAAATATTTAAAGCTAAGGGAACAGATGAGTAAATAGTTGAATTTGACCTGAGATCTTTGAAATGTTTTCATTAAACTGCCTCAAGATATACTTTTTAAAATGTAAATTCAGACTCTGACATTTGCAACCTGTACACAGAGTTTCTAATGAGCAAATAAGGTCACTGGGATGATTCACTGGAGTGTGATTGCTGAAGGCAGAGATGTTGCTGTGAGTTGCTTAGTCTACAGAAGCCTTTGAAGCATGGTTATGTAACACTCTGTGTTTATTAGAATCTATGCTTTATGCAACAAATAAAAGCAAAGGGCTTAATTTAGGATTAGCTAAATGCCACATTCCATCAAGAATTTATATATAAAGGTTAATTTCTGAACCAAGAAAAATAGAGCATCTCAACTTTCTAGTTTTCCAGGCTATATATGTTTTGGTTAAAAAAAAAAAAAACACCTTAAAAAAATACAAGGTTTTCTCATAAAAGATCTACAACAATCACTTTGAACAGATGCAAGCACGTTTTTTTTCCTTTGTGTGTGTGTGTGTATGTGTGAGTGTGTTATGTGGGCTTTTGCTCTATGCTACAATTTAATGGTGCTATTCTTTATGTGAGCAGAGATGATCCTACTAATAATTTCATATTTAATATGGGTCCTACTTTTGTTTTTATAGCTTCAAAATGGATGTGCATTCATTGCCAGGTTAGCCCTCTAATTTCAAGATGACAGTAATACTTTTAAACATTATCTAGAGGTCTTTTTGATCATTTTTTATTGTTAAATATTGTCCAAAAATCCCTGTGATTTAATGATAATGACGAATGCATCTACCCACCCCCACTGGCAATAAAGAGCCTATGATTTAGCATCATTTTTCTACCCAGGAATTTAAGATGAATCACAAAGTAAGAAAAATATTTTGCATGATTAAAATATTGCAACTGCTTTAACAGTTTTAGATTGGCTTAATATATATTCATAAGACTATAGGCAGTAATGAATAATGAGCAGGCCCTTAAAACACAAATGGTTTTAGGTGGGGTTTTTTTTTCCTCTCTCTCTTTTTTTTTTTTTTCCTTAAATATCTGAGTACTGTTTCAGGGTTCGTGTTCTGAGATATTCAACAGCATTTCTGGGTTTTTTTTTTTTTTTTGCTTCATAGCTCCGTTGTGTGGTAATGGTCTCCTTGGTTCCAGAAGTTCATCTAACAATAGCTCAGTCAAGATTTCTATCCTCTATTTCTTGTCCTTCAATGGGAAAAAAGAAATCAGAAATATTATTGTAACCGTTAAAAACAATACACACATATGTAACAATTGTATCGCTAATGAGGAGAAAAACATTTGTGCCAAGGTTGATTATTTTTACCAATTTGTAAAAAAAGGTACTAGTATGTGGAAATTCTGAGGTATGTGGTACTACAATGTGGAAACTGAGGTACGTGTAAGACTAAGAGTCTTATCCACACATCAACAATTATATCTTTAGTTAAAATGTGTTAGGTATTCACACATAAAGCTAAATTTCTGTTGGATGGACGATGATGAATAGAAGGATGGGCAGTCAGAAGTGGATGGATGGTTGAGTGTTGGATAGATAAAAGGATGAACAGACTGATGGATGATGTGGATAGATGGAGGTTACAGCTACCTAATGGCAAAAGAACCCCTGGGGTTGTTTAAAATTAAATAAAGTACAGGGCGCCTGGGTGGCTTAGTTGGTTAAGCGACTGCCTTCGGCTCAGGTCATGATCCTGGAGTCCCGGGATCGAGTCCCGCATCGGGCTCCCTGCTCGGCGGGGAGTCTGCTTCTCCCTCTGACCCTCCTCCCTCTCATGCTCTCTGTCTCTCATTCTCTCTGTCTCAAATAAATAAATAAAATCTTTAAAAAATTTAAAATAAATAAATAAATAAATAAAATAGTCCTTTATTTAATCAGTCCAAAAACAGATCATTCTCTACTAATTAAAAAAATAATTGTATAATTGTATTCATCACCTTTCTTTATATCTGATGCCAGTGGTCTTTAATTAGAGCATTCTGTGTCTAAAATAAATTTCTAATATTGAATGTTAAATTACTTTTTCCTTCTGGATCTCAGTAGAAATTAGCCTTTTTCTTTTTTTTTTTTTTTCAGTAAATATCTCCTGCCTGCCATAAAGCTGTTTAGATCTTCTGTAAGTGAGGTATTTTCATTTTCATCATTTTCTGTTAAGCTCTTCTAACTCAGAATCTCACAAAGCTCTTCTAACTCAGAATCTCACAGGGTCAAACTGAGTAGTCAGTGTTTTATTTATATGTGAAAATAGTACCTGAATACTCCAGAAGATTCTTAAAATGAAGGAATGATATAATTACTGGTTCACTGTAAGTATTTAAGGGCTGCCAAGAATATCTTGGTGCTGCAACCAAAGGAAGAGTTTGTCTCTCCAGAGAAAAATGAACACTGTTCTTGGAAACAGTGGCTTCAGTTATAACCATGTGTAAGAATCATTTCTAATTCTATTAATGTAGTATTTTTTGGCCTAATGGTGGAAAAATACCTAATTAATTCCTATTATGTCTGTGAAGTTTACTTGTGAAATTAATTGATTCTTTTTGGTTGTTATATGGCATTAATTGAATTAGGAAAGTATTCTTTAGATATCATTGAGAAAAATTATTTAATGTATAACTTAATGAAATGCAATCATGTTAGCTTTTACTGGCACACAGTAAGTGTTTCATTATGGGAACATTAAAACAAAATTATTTTGTCTGTAGAATTATAAACGTTACTGTAATTTTTTTCTCCATCCATTTATATTTAGAGATAGTCCATTGTTTTCACTTTACTACCTTCCCTTTCAACACTCTTCCTTTCTTTCCAGCTAAGGAAAACAAGAAAAATAAGTTTCTCTGATGGTAGCATTCTTTTCGGATTCTGAAACATTGTTTTTTTCAGTTTGTTGTCTTACTCTAACATTTTTGTGTCCCAGAGACTCACTAGTTCTAAGTATTTCCAGTTCTTATATGTGTAAATGTAGAGAAATTTGTTCTTACTATTGGGATAGTGGCTAAAAGCATGAGCTCTTCGGTGGAGTAAGTAAGACTGTCTAAGGGTTCAAGTTCTGTCTCTCCCACTTACCAGCGTTATAAAAGTAACCTCACTGTTTCTTAGTTTCCTCATCTTTAAAACACCTACTTGTAGAATTATTGTCAGAATTAAATGAGTTAATGCATATGAAAGGCTTAGCAACAGTGTCCTGCTCAGGCTGTAAGCTCAGGCAGTTCACCTGCTCTGCTCATCATTACTGGCTCTAAAAATGCCTTAAGAGGGGCGCCTGGGTGGCTCAGTCCTTAAGCATCTGCCTTCAGCTCAGGTCATGATCCCAGGGTCCTGGGATCGGGCCCTGCATCAGGCTCCCTACTCGGTGGGGAGCCTGATTTTCCCTCTCCCACTCCCCCTGCTTGTGTTCCCTCTCTAGCTGTGTCTCTCTCTGTCAAATAAATAAAATCTTCAAAAATCAATCAATCAATCAATAAAATAAAAATGCCTTAGAAATTTGGTAATAAAAGGAAGGAAAGGAAAGGATGAGAGGAGTATGTATTAATGCTCTCTATTACCTACATGCTCTGGTCCTACTTTTTTCATTTCCTATTCCCCAGTTCACCACCACAAGGTGATTTCTGTCCTGTCACAGTCTTGGAATTAAGTCTTCTGCTTCTGGCTAATTCCTTTCTACACTTCTGCATTATTGGCTCACCTTTCTTCCTTACCCCCTTGCAGCACTATCGTGAGTTCCCTTTCCTCTGTACCCACTTTGTCCCATCTTTTTCCCTCAGGTCCAAATCCAGTTATTTTTTTTGTTTCCTTCCTTGCACTCTTCCCTTGAAGAACTCACATATGCTCCTGGCTTCAACCCTGTGTAGACGGCCCCTAATCACCCCTCCTACGTCGATGTGTGCCTTATTCACCAACTATAATTTTGTGATATTTAATGACCATTAGGAAATACCCAGCACATGGAATCATGAATTTTTGAGAGGTATCAGAACTCTAGCATGACCTGGTTCAGCCCATTGAAATTAGATAAAATTGGTTGGTTTAGAAGATATATTTTAGGGGCACCTGGGTGGCTCAGTTGGTTAAGCGACTGCCTTCGGCTCAGGTCATGATCCTGGAGTCCCGGGATCGAGTCCCGCATCGGGCTCCCTGCTCGGCAGGGAGTCTGCTTCTCCCTCTGACCCTCCTCCCTCTCATGCTCTCTGTCTCTCATTCTCTCTGTCTCAAATAAATAAATAAAATCTTTAAAAAAAAAAAAGAAGATATATTTTAGGACATGGTTTTCAAATTAGTACCAAACATCAAAGTACCAAACCATAACACTTCACAGTGTGTGAATGCTTTTATTTACATTGACTCTCCTTATCATCACATCATTTTAGTGATATGGATCAGGCAAGTATTCTTATCCTCAACCTAAATATGAACACTAGAAAGATTTATAACTTTCACAAGATCAGATTCCTAGTAAGGGAATAAATGTGATTTAAATCTACTTCCCCTAATTTCAGCATTGTTTTTCATGTGAGCACCAGATAATTCACTTTTTTGTTGCCCTGTTGAAATGCCATTAAAGTAGGTAAAGCATGTCTCACTAATTATAATTTTATGTTTCCTTTGCATTTCTTTGTAAGAGTTAATGATGCCTCTGGCTAAATGTCATTTCTCTGCAGTGTTATACTGTCCTCATTTCTAACACACTTATAAGCACAGATCAGTTTAAATGGGATATTTATAAAATATACTCATTTTAAAAATAAACATTTTAGGGGCGCTTGGGTGGCTCAGTTAAGCATCCGATTCTTGATTTCAGCTCAACTCATGATCTCAGAGTCATGAGATGGAGCATTGGGCTCCCCGCTGGGCATAGTGCCTGCTTAAAATTCTTTCTCTCCCTCTCCCTCTCCCCCTCCGCCCCTCACTCTCATGCTGTCTCTCTCTCTCTCATATACAAGTAAGGAAACAAACAGACTTTTTAAGGATAAAGTAACTTTTTAAGGAAAAAGATGATACTCAAATTTTTTATTAAACCAGGATATAAACCTAAGTATATTTCAGCTTCAAGTGCTGGCTGGGAAAGTGTGGATCCTGAAGGATATTAGAGGATAAAAGGGTTTGGAGACTAACAGCCCATAAAACAGGGGAAAGAACAATTTACAAAGAGGTGAAAGATAAGAGTTCTGCTTTCATCAGCTTTCTTGATAAGCTGTTGCTCATATTCTTTCTTGAGCAGTGGAAGTTATGACCTGTATGCTGGTTCCATATTACTGGCATAGACTTACAGCATGGGAGGTCTAATTTGTTTTAGCCACACACGATAGATACAGTCTTGGACAGATTTAATCGGGAGATGAGCCTCCATGTAGATCTATATTAGAGGCATATAACTGTATATATTTCCTTTTCTCACCTTAATTTTCAATGTAGGAAATTCATCCCTGGTGACATTTTGTCTGCTGGCTGCCTCAGACAATTTACCTAAAGAATACATGGAATCCTATCACTGTACTTGATTAACTCTCTCATGACCATAATAGTCTCATCACTTCGGAATTTTAATAATAATTGGATGGTCTAAATAAAACTCACATTTGTGAAATAACTATAAAATAAATAATTAAATCTACATAAAATCTGGTTCAAAACCTGCCAGAAATTTTACTCATTTGGATTATATAAGTCATTTCCATGTCTAACTATCATGACCAAAACGTTTGTTGATTTCGTTTTGAATGGTACAAACATGTACTTTGCAGAAATAACTTAGCCACTTTACTCTTTGCTTGTATTATTTCCTCTGTCTACCCAGTAAGGTTAAACCAATATGATTGTTTTAAAGATGATTGCAAACTACTATATTAGATTTATTATGCCCCTGGAAAATATATTTATTAGCAGTCACTTGTGTGTTTAAAGCTCTCGCACTCAAAAAAAAAAAAAAAAAAAAAAGCTCTCGCACTCATTTTTTTAGTGCCTATGGGGAAATGTTTACTTTGAATCTTTTCCCTCACAATCATTAATCTGGGTACAGTTATAATAGTTATGGGCTGGGTGCCCAGAAATACTCAGGAATAACTGGGAGTGATGGGGCACACACACACGCCTGCAGGCTTTTCTTTATAATTTTTCATGAGAAGCTAGCTCAGCCCATTCTCAATCTGAAGCACTGAGTGGGCCCTAGAGTATTATGATTTTCTGTTTGGCCTGAAACTTATAAAAGAAAGAGGAATATACATTAACTATACATGTAAGTTATGACTTCAAATAAATAATATTTACTACCAACACTAAGATAATCAGTTTTCAAATGTTTAAGTATTTTAATGTTCACAAACTTTGCAGTCTTTCAATGGCAGATGGTGGGAGAGTGGTAGAACATATTATCCCTAGATGTATATCCTGGCCCTGCAAAATTATTTTTTTAATATTATTATGTTATGTTAGTCACCATACATTACATCATTAGTTTTTGATGTAGTGTTCCATGATTCATTGTTTGCATATAACACCCAGGGCTCCATGCAGAACATGCCCTCTTTAATACCCATTACCAGGCTAACCAATCCCCCCACCCCCCTCCCCTCTAGAGCCCTCAGTTTGTTTCTCAGAGTCCGTAGTCTCTCATGGTTCGTCTCCCCCTCCGATTTCCCCCCTTTATTCTTCCCTTCCTGCTATCTTCTTCTTCTTTTTTTTTTTTTTTTTTAGCATATAATGTATTATTTGTTTCAGAGGTACAGGTCTGTGATTCAACAGTCTTACACAATTCACAGCACTCACCATAGCACAAACCCTCCCCAATGTCTATCACCCAGCCACCCCATCCCTCCCACCCTCCCCACCACTCCAGCAACCCTCAGTTTGTTTCCTGAGATTAAGAATTCCTCATATCAGTGAGGTCATATGATACATGTCTTTCTCTGATTGACTTATTTCGCTCAGCATAATACCCTCCAGTTCTATCCACGTTGTTGCAAATGGCAAGATTTCATTCCTTTTGATGGCTGCATAATATTCCATTGTATATATATACCACATCTTCTTTATCCATTCATCTGTCGATGGACATCTTGGCTCTTTCCATAGTGTGGCTATTGTGGACATTGCTGCTGTAAACATCAGAGTGCACGTACCCCTTTGGATCCCTACATTTGTATCTTTGGGGTAAATACCCAGTAGTGCAATTGCTGGGTTGTATGATAGCTCTATTTTCAACTTTTTGAGGAACCTCCATACTGTTTTCCAGAGTGGCCGCTCCATCTTGCATTCCCACCAACAGTGTAGGAGGGTTCCCCTTTCTCCGCATCCCCGCCAACATCTGTCATTTCCTGACTTGTTAATTTTAGCCATTCTGACTGGTGTGAGGTGATATCTCATTGAGGTTTTGATTTGGATTTCCCTGATGCCGAGTGGTGTTGAGCACTTTTTCATGTGTCTCTTGGCCATTTGGCTGTCTTCTTTGGAAAAATGTCTGTTCATGTCTTCTGCCCATTTCTTGATTGGATCATTTGTTCTTTGGGTGTTGAGTTTAAGAAGTTCTTTATAGATTTTGGGTACTAGCCTTTTATCTGATATGTCATTTGCAAATATCTTCTCCCATTCTGTCGGTTGTCTTTTGGTTTTGTTGACTGTTTCTTTTGCTTTGCAAAAGCTTTTTATCTTGATGAAGTCCCAATAGTTCCATTTTGCCCTTGCTTCCCTTGTCTTTGGCGATGTTTCTGGGAAGAAGTTGCTGCAGCTGAGGTCGAAGAGGCTGCTACCTATGTTCTCCTTTAGGATTTTGATGGACTCCTGTCTCACATTGAGGTCTTTCAACCATTTGGAGTCTATTTTTGTGTGTGGTGTAAGGAAATGGTCCAGTTTCATTCTTCTGCATGTGGCTATCCAATTTTCCCAACACCATTTGTTGAAGAGACTGTTTTTTTCCATAATTCCATAAAGAATGTCCATTCTTTCCTGCTTTGTTGAAGATTAGTTGACCATGGAATTGAGGGTTCATTTCTGGGCTCTCTATTCTGTTCCATTTATCTATGTGTCCGTTTTTGTGCCAGTACCATGCTGTCTTGATGATGACAGCTTTGTAATAGAGCTTGAAGTCCGGAATTGTGATGCCGCCAGCTTTGCTTTTCTTTTTCAACATTCCTCTTGCTATTCAGGGTCTTTTTCTGGTTCCATACAAATTTTAGGATTATTTGTTCCATTTCTTTGAAAAAAGTTGATGGTATTTTGATAGGGATTGCATTGAATGTGTAGATTGCTATAGGTAGCATTGACATCTTCACAATATTTGTTCTTCCAATCCATGAGCATGGAACATTTTTCCATTTCTTTGTGTCTTCCTCAATTTCTTTCATGAGTATTTTATAGTTTTCTGAGTACAGATACTTTGCCTCTTTGGTTAGATTTATTCGTAGGTATCTTACAGTTTTGGGTGCAATTGTAAATGGGATCGACTCCTTAATTTCTCTTTCTTCTGTCTTCTTGTTGGTGTATAGGAATGCCACTGATTTCTGTGCATTGATTTTCTATCCTGCCACTTTACTGAATTCCTGTATGAGTTCTAGCAGTTTTGGGGTGGAGTCTTTGGGGCAAAATTATTTTTTATATATTTTTGTTATATATATTACACATACATATGTATATGTATGGTTTTTGACTAGTCATTTTGATGTTGTATACTTAAGTTCAATCGTCTGTATAAAAAAGCTAACTGATGAGGTTGATAATGCAGGTTTTTATATGCTGATTTTAGTAAATGTGTAATCAATCATCCACTTCAAATAACAAATATATAAAATGTCTATCTCCAGGGCTCATACTGATTAGTTATTCACTTTAAGAATTAACTACTTCAAACTGACATGCATTTGTTTTACTATTGTGACTTCTCCAAAAAGAAGGAAAAAAATCTTTTAAAATGTCCAGGTAAAACTTAATAGATAATGAAATGGGATTGTGTTAGAAGGGATATTGTACAGTTCTGAAATGTTAACTCTATAAAACAAGGGAAGAAAATCAAGGTTGGTTTTTTATAACCAAAGTAGTATTAAATTATTTCTTCAGGTTTAGCAAAAGCATGCATAGATCAAAACCCAAGAAGGTTACAGTTATATTCCGATAATGAAAAGATCCACTCAATAAATATGCCGGGTACTAATCTAGGTTTTAGGTGGCTGGGAGGTGAGAGGCGGGGTGGGTAAAGACAGAAATCCCTTATAAAAATTGTATTTTTTTTTTAAGATTTTATTTATTTGACAGAGACACAGCAAGAAAGGGAACAGAAGCAGGGGGTGTGGGAGAGGGAGAAGCAGGCTTCCCGCTGAGCAGGAAGCCTGATGCGGGGCTCAATCCCAGGACCCTGGGATCATGAACTGAGCCGAAGGCAGACACTTAATGACTGAGCCACACAGGAGCCCCAGGAAGTAATTCTTAATATGAATTTGCATCAGACCTTTCTTATTTAAATGTTATCAATATTAATTTAAGGCTGTGAAATCTCTGTCATGTGTGGTCTCTTTGATTCTGATGCTTGCCTGCAGGTTCTGTTATGTGCTGCAGGCTAGAAATATGCTGGGACTAATCTAGGTCCTAGGTAGCTGAGAGGTGAGGGGCGGGGTGGGTAAAGTCAGAAATCCCTTATAAAAATTGTATTTTAGTAAAGGAAGACAGAAAAATGAAATAGGTTTGTAGTGTGTTAAAGGTTGATAATGATGTGATGAAAACCCACGACATGTGTACAAAGAGGGTGTGGGAGGTGTTTAGTTCTCAGTTAGGGCATGCAGAGGTAGCTTCTCAATCTCTCTCAGTAGCTTGAGGAGATTTTTCTTTAAAAAAATAAGTAAATAAATAATACCTAAAATTTAAAAAGGCATGTAGTTCTCAAGGAGTTTGATGTACTGTCCTAATAATCTTTAATATTTAAAATTTTGTATAACAGGAGAACTTTGAATCCTAGTGAGAATAAAGAGAAGGGGAGGAGGGCATGGAAGTATGGGTCATTAAGGAAGGAAAGGCCAAATTGGGAGTAAAAAGTAAGATAGAGAATAAATAGACCCACTTTTACATTTTTATCACATGAGACATCAGTTTAAAGGATCCAGGGGCTATAATAATAATATAAATAGTAGCTAATAATTTGAGAATTTTCCCCCACACTAGACACAGTACTAAACCCCTGAAACACATTGCTTTAGTTAATCTTCCCAGGAACCCTCCAATATGGGCACCTGTGTTTTAACAATGAGAAACTAAACTGCTAGGAAGTTCAGTAGCTTTCTTAGAGACACAGTTAGCAATTGCCAGAATTGGTATTAGAATGTAATTGTTGGACCCCAAAGCACATGGATGTACCCACCGTATTTTCCTGTTGTAGGCTGTTTCCCCTATCCTAGTCTGTCTGCAAGACATAGCTCAGATGTTACTTACTTACTGCTTATAATTGTCATTATTTTTCAGGGACTTTGAAGTTTCCAATTATCTTTTCCATTTATATATGTTTCATTGGATTCCACTGAAGGCTGTATTAGAGTAAGTTTGGGAAAAGGTGTTTCTTTATAGCTGAAGTCAAAATTATTTTGAGTTCCAAAGCACAATGTTTTTGTAAAAAATGTTGAATCTGCATGGTCAAAACTCATTTAGATGACAAAGTATGTGGTTATAAGGTGAATAAAAATCTTATTTTTTTCTTTTTCAATTCTAAATAATTGCTATTGCTTCATCAAATAATTGAATTTACAAGTTCTTTGGGCAATCCTTAATGACACAGACAAAAAGCAACAATTTTAGAGGATGCTTAGGCTAGACGTGTGGGCATAATTTTTCATTATTATACTTTAACTGTGGGCATATTTTTTCATTATTATTCTTTCTTGAGTTATTGAGAAACAATGATATTTTTTATTTCAAGTTATATAACCTTCTAGGACAAAGAAAAGTTCCTAGTTGGGTTAGTCAAAGTATTCTGTAAAGTATTTAGAATAATATTCCTGTTTGCATAGAGAAATATGTGGTACTTAATACTTGGTATTATCATTCAGTTTGCTATTTACTGGTATATGTCATTAAGCATACCTAAGCATAAACTAATAATTTGCATGAAAATTTATTTCAAAAAGCATAGCAATACATTAATTAACATGGTAGATAATACTTGAGCCCCCTCATCCTTTGAGTTTATTTTATTGCTATTCTGCATTATACAGTTTCTAAAGAATTACAGCCAAGGAAGTAAACTTGAAGGAATTGTAGTTAATTGCAGAAACTTATTGTTGATGACATGAGCACATCTTAGAATATACTAGAAATATACTTATATTTTGTACTTAATTAAAACATTTGGTTGTCATTTAAACTTTTAATTAAGACAGTGCTCACAAACTTGAATGTGTATGTAGCTTTTTACAAAAACACCAAAATATTAATATGAACCAATAAGAGTAAAAAAAAAAAAAAAAAAGATTGTTCCCTTAGAGAGAAGTTGTGATGTTTGGCATTTATTATATCTTAAAATACACTTTGGTTATATTCAATAATAAATTCCTTTATTTACTTTCACATTACTCTCTGTTTTAATTTTGTTTTAGAAATATAATATTTAGGAATATTTTAAAACTAACATCAAGAAGAGAAAAAATTTAAATGGATATTTTCCATTGAAAGTAGCATAGTCATAAATGCCACATTGCCATAAAATAGTTTTGAAAAAATAATTAAAATATCAGGGTTCCTTTTCTATGATGAATTTTTAAGTTAGTATATATTTTAGATCACAGAAGTAAATGTGCGAATGCCTAAATCAGACACACAGGCACACCGAACCTCACATTAAGACACATACAGATTCATACAATATGCAGCAACACATCACAAGTCTCTGCTACTTTTGCATTTGGAAAAAGACTAGAGAGAGCAACTAAAAGGTGTAATGTATGGCCCAGTGTATTGCCTAGGCATAATTTAGCTATATTTATAAAATAAAGGAACATCTATTTAAGATGGTATACAGTTATAACTGAAGATTTTGTGGATTTTAGCCGTTAATAAATAAAATTCAACTCATGACACATAAAAAGAGAAGGACTATGTTGGAACACTGTGGCTAGTTCTGTGCTGGTAGTTGTTTTCAGATTGTTAAAAATACAAAATTGTCTTTGCTTTCCAGCACCTATTCTTACTCTACCAGATGTTTGTTCACAGTTCCTTAAAATTTCATATGGAATATGTCTTGCCTTGGATAGAGATTCTTTCTCCTGGGGCCATTGAGCTCCCAGTAGTTATTGCAACCATAATAATATGGGTGGGTTGATTAAAGACTCAGATCTGAAAATAATATAATAAATGCATATATTCTAAGACGTACTTTTTTTTCACATTTAAGCTTGTCTTCAGTTGGGATGTGTTCTACAGTGAATGGCATGGTAGTGATATTTTTTTTCTCTTTATTGGGGATACATAAGATAATTCATCTTAAAATTGATGATGCCCTAGATGTAAAGATGGATGGTAACTTACCATCTTTGCCATCTTTATGTTCACCTAGTGACTGGAGGGCCCCTTTCATTGTCACTCAATTTGAAACCTCAGGGGTCGTACCTTACAATAAATTTCCTTAGCTTCATCAGCGGGAGTGAAGTGAGTTTAGTGCAGAATGATATAAATGACAGTACTTCTTACATCAAAATCCTTATACTTTGAACAGACACTTTATCAAGTAGCTGAGCAAACACAGCAGCTTTTGAAGTATTTGAAGAGCCATTGAATTTAAGAGTCTTCATGCCTTCACTCTTCTTTAATCTTATTAGTACAGGTCTTCAGAACATGGCTCTTTCTTGGTTCAAATTTAAGGACATAGATTATACAATAATGCTTAAAACTTCTTATCTATTTCAACCTGTTGATAGATATATCAAATACTTAGGAAGCTCTTGAATGTAAAATAAGAAGAAATCATAATATTTTTAAATGACATTCAAATGGATAAGGACCTATTTGATCTCTTTTGTAGAAAAAAATCTTCATAAAATAATTCCATCATTCTATCATTTTTTTCCTACTGTATTTTCCCAAATTGAGCAAGGTATATTTTTTGGTCCAATATTTTGTATTACCAATAAAATGACCAAATGAACGTAATGAACAAGAATGGATCTAGAACAAATACAATAAATGTCAGATATTCAGACTCCATAAGGAATGTTAAGAATTCAGTCTTTTAACATCAATCTTTTAAATTTAACAAGATTAATCATTTAGATGAATATCACTTTATCTGCTTTTTAAATTTTTATTCCTCTCATGTCAAATTCATTCTGGCCTCTTTATCCTAAGAATCGCAACTTTAGAATTAAACAAGAAACTGTTTATGAAAAGACTTTGCCTCATTCTCCATATAAACTAGGTGCCCAGGTGTAGAGAGTAGGGTAATTAGATTACATCCGACTGGTGTGTACATCGATCTCTGCCACTGAACTGGTTGTGTGTCTCTGGGCGCACACATTTTCTCCTTCTGCTTCTGTCTCCCCACGTTGTGCACTGGTGTCCTTATTTTTCCATCCAAATTCTCACTGATGTATCTATGCCTCTCCATTCACACTCTCCGAGGTTCACCATACTACTATCCGTGGACCTTGTAAGACTCCCGACTGTTCTCTCTGACCTGGTCTTTTCTTTGTCCATCTTATTCTACCCCCAGCCTCCAGGTTAATTTTCTTGATTGTCATACTCTTTTTCACCAATCTTCAACATTCTCATACTTCATTACCAAAATAAATCTTAGTCTAGCCCAGCCTTCAAAACTCTCTATAGACAGTCAGTCCTACCTTTCCTCCTTGGCTCTCCCTCTCATTGCATATTTCTTTCTGCTTTATTTATAGACATTCAGGTGCATGTGTTCTCTCTCCTTACAGCTGTAAGTCGTATGTAAACTAAGACCATATATTAGCCTTTTTTTTTTATCTTACACAGTGCCTTATACATTTTGTGTACTTAGTGAGTGGGGGAGTAAAGATAACTTATTCTACTTTCCTCTAATACAAAAATATAAGATATGGAATTTGACTTTTCTTGGTGAATCAGAATTGTCCTGAATGTTTCAAGATGTAGTGAGAACCTTTTATGAAAAGACATTCTGTTAAGTGTTGGGAGGTAGCTATAAATGAAGGAGGGCCTTTTGAGGTATCCTGCTAAATTTATTCTATCTGCTACAGAATTGGAAACCATATTTAAAAAAATAATTTAAAATAACTGTAAATTCTCTCAGAGCTGTATTTTCAGAGATGTTCTTTAGTGAAAGATGGGGGTTTGCAGGGATTTTGGTGCTGTTTGGGTGCCCTGTTGTGTGTGCGTATGCACACGAGAAAGAAGGAGTAAAGGAATGCCTGAGTGAGAGATAAGAAATCAGTCAATCGATCAATCAATCCAGGTGCTCAAATAACTGCTTTAAAATTGTTTGTTCTAAGCAGTGTCCCTAAAAGATGGGTTTCTAATACTCAAATAATATGTGGTAGTAATTCACAATTATAAGGCTCTTCCACAATTATTACTTTTAATCTAGTGTTTTAAATTATTGTAATTTCTGGAGCTCAAGGGTTGCTTTTCTAAAGGAAGCTATTGTATTCCCTGAGTAATATAGACACAGGACTGGGTAATTCCAAAAGTGGCCACAGCAGAATTTTTTCTTTAAATTATAAATTAGAGAAACAGTTCCAAACTGATGTTTTAAAACTTTCATTATGGCTTTTGTAAGCTTTTGCTTTATGGCTACAAATTACATATATTAAGTGAGTAGATTCCAACCATTTTAAGTGTGATGATCCCTTTCAATGTCAAAAAGAAATGGATTCTTTTATAACAATTGTTCTTTCAGTATCCTTGATTGAAAAAATATATGAGCAAAACCTTACTCTAAATCTTGTGACTTTTTAAATGAATCTGCATTTTATTAATAAAAAAAGATGCACAAGGGCGCCTGGGTGGCTCAGTTGGTTAAGCGACTGCCTTCGGCTCAGGTCATGATCCTGGAGTCCTGGGATCGAGTCCCGCATCGGGCTCCCTGCTCTGCAGGGAGTCTGCTTCTCCCTCTGACCCTCCCCCTCTCATGCTCTCTCATTCTCACTGTCAAATAAATAAATAAAATCTTAATAAATAAATAAATAAATAAATAAATAAATAAAGATGCACATTATTTAAAATACAGTACCCAAATGTGTATAATAACATAATTCAGGCTTCAGACAATGCCTGATGCAAATATAGATTTCCAGTCCCTTATAATAACATAATTACTCATTTGGTGAGATCCTTTTAATAACAGCTACCAGTGAATGTCAACCCACAGGTTGGGAACCCCTGCTTTTGATGAGATACTTGCTTTCTTCAGACACTACTACCAATTATTTATGATCTTAACTACTAATTTAATAATTGATACTCTATTTCGAAAGTTTTTAAAGTATTCTAGGACATCAGTCTCTAAATTGTACTCATTTTTGTTCTTGTTTTTGCTTTGGAAGATTTTATTTATTTATTTATTTATTTGACAGAGCAAGAGAGCACAAGCAGGGGGCGGGGGGGGAGAGGCAGAGGGAGAGGGAGAAGCAGACTTCCTGCTGAGCAGGGATCCCGACATGGGGCTTGATCCCAGGACCTTGGGTTCATGACCTGAGCCGAAGACAGACGCTTAACCATCTGAGCCAC